ATTCCTGCTTCTATAAGGGTCTGTCTTTCCTGTAATAGTGTGAGGTATTTGAGGACCTTAGTCATCCTTGCACTCTCAGTGCCTAACATAGGTCATGGAAAGTAGTTGGTGCTTAATATCTTTATTTAAGAAAGTAAGCAAAGGGAGTAATATCTTTATTATTTGTCGCAAGTATTCAGTACCTATGTATTCTTGCACTCACAGGCTAATACACAGAATGAGCATGAATGGAGCATGTTGTTTTCTTCTTTCTATCTTTTCAGTCCCAAGAGCAGATAACAGACCAGTTGACCACTGAAATACATTGAACTGAAATTGAAATTCTAAAGGGAATTTATCACACTACCCATATAAATCCATGCCCCGTAAATAATGTTGCTCACAAAGCCGAGGCTGAGTCTTCAAACCAATAGCACTTACGGCACTCCTGTGTTAATGCCACATTATTAGCATCTCCATGGACTGTGCCAAACAGAGTCGCCCATCCACTAGTGTCTCCTGTGAAACACACGGTGATGAACATGTGTCAGTTATTCTAGAAGTAAAATATCAAATTACAAAACAAAAGTATAAAAATTTGATCATGAAATCAATTTTAAAAATTTGTTTAAGTAATAGAAAGATAACAAGGGAGGAAAAGGTAGGCAAACACCTGGCGTCTTGTCTTTTTCTGCACTTACAAATAGTTTAAATGTGTGTATCATAAAATATATAATGAAAATAGATGATTATTTTCCATACGTGTATCCATCTTGAAAAATATCACCTGTTTCTAATGCTGACATTTTAAATGTTTGATCTTAATTTTGAGGTCCTCAGAAGAAAATATAATCTGAATTTTATTTTGTCATATGCATATGTGTATGTAGATACACACTTGATATATGTAATGAGTTCTGACAAAGTTTATGGCACCTGACCTTTTTAATAAGGAAAAAAACCAAGTTCCTTTTAATGAAGTCTGTCTAGTCCTGACGAGAAAAATATTTTCTCAACTTGTCAGGTGATATAATCTGCTCATTTGCCAAGTTTTCCGTTTTCTGCAATAAAATTGTATTCTTTTAAAAAAGAAGGCTTGATTTTTGAAGCATCATTACTTTAGCATAAGCTATTAAAGTGATAAAACACACAATATGATGTATGATACTGAAGTTCATACAAATAGAAAAGTAAATTTAAATAACTGCCCGCAGGTCCCATTGATCTCTGAAAATTTTAGTTTATTTTTATTTCTTGCTGACAACCTCAGTGGTTTTTTAAATTATTCTCTTTGACGCCTTTACATGAATTATGTAATTTGCGTTCCTAACACCTTCATGAGGTAGCTAACGTGCACGGTCTAAGATTTCCACTGAAGAGGAAGGCCAAGAATTTGAGTGACTTGACACTGGCATCCGGAGAGCGGCCCCGTCATGAGCACTCATTGTACTCTACTGTTCTAGGCTCTGGTGACACCAAAACAAACGAGAACTCTCCTCAAGGAGTTTATGTCTAGTGAGAGCAGTACAGCCTAAAGACAAGGCAGTCCTTAGTACAGTCGTCTGGGTATACCCAGGGCGCTATGGCAACAGAGAGAAAGCGTGCTTGTCCTAGACCTGGGGTGGAGCTTCAGCGTGGGGAGGCACGGCTGGGAAAGCCAAGCTTCTCAGGGCAGGAGGGGACACCTAAACTGCACCCTACAGGCTGAGCAGGAGTGATTCACAGGTGGTGAAGGCAGCGGTGCTGGGGCAGGAGAGCAGATTCTACTGGCATTGCA